GAAAAATACTGGTCCCAGAATATTCCAGAATTCTTTATAAAATTCTGCTAGGAACCCGTCCGGACGGCTTTCTTGGTCGGCATGTTTTTAACAGCTTCACATAATTTAGCTGATGTTATTGGAGAGTCTAGTTCTAAAGACTGGTTATTGGATAATTTTGGAAGTGATACTTTTTCCAAAAAATGTTCAATATCCTTATCTGAAGGGTTTATCTGCGGCGTGTATAAAACTTGATAGAAGTCTCTGAAAACATTATTTACTTCTCCCTGATCATAAACTATATTCCCAGTTATGTTTTTAATACCAGATATAGTTGTTTTATCTTTATTAATTTTAAGCTGGTTAGCTAAAAAACTTCCTGATTTATTACTATGTTCAAAATTCTCTAATCGAAGTCATTGTCTCAAGAATTTGTTTTTTGTCCATGTATTCATTTAACTCTAATTTTGCCTTCCGCATTCTTTGCTGTATTTCTTAACCTTGCAAAATTCCTAACAATTTGATGGCTTCCTCTAGTTCGTGAATACGTTCAATTTCTTTTTTCTTTTTATTTGTTGAGTATGATATCATCTTGGTTCTCATAACTGTTTTCCCTGCCTCCCAGAGAGTAGATGCTGATGTTCCTGGTAAGTCATTATACTCTAGATATGATGTCCATTCCTCGTTAAAATATTTTAAAAACTGTTCATCATTGAGCAATGATCTATCAAATCTCCAAATTATATTTGTTTTTTTCTTTCTTATTAACTAAGGTTAAAGAGACTGGTGCATGATCACTTACAGTAATAGGGTGTATCTCACTGTCTAAAATATTGGTCAGCAATGAACTGCTGACTAAAAAATAGTCCAGGCGAGAATAAGAGTGATGAACATGTGAGAAGAATGTATATTCTTTATTTTCAGGGTGAAGAGCACGCCATGCATCGCAAAGTCCATAATCACTCATATATTGTTTAACTATGTTTGTGGATTGCCAACTGCACTGAGCTCCAGCCGTAATTCATCCTGTCAATGTTGTTAATTAGACCAAAGTTGAAATCGCCTCCAAGAAGCAGTGAGCAATCCAGGTGATTTGATAGAACAGAAAAGAAATCATGAAAAAAAGGGTATCATCCACATTTGGACCATATATGCTTGCAATACAGTATTTTTGGGATAAATAAAGAAAATGTTAATATTATATATCTACCCTTCGGGTCAATAACTGTATATAATACTGTGAAGTTGATATTTTTATGTATTAATATTGCTACCCCTTTTTGTCTTAATTTATAACAGGCTGAGTATACGTT